GGAAAGTATTTATAGAAAAGACATAGGGAAGCCACACCAGGAACGGTTGTGAAGTTATTTAAGACGAGATGAAAAGTCAGGATCGATAATATTACAGATCCTTCTTTGATTTACTCAAGAATCTCGAGATATGCGGCTGGAACACAAAACTAAAAATGGCTACATTATTCAATTTAATTATTCCACTTCATGTCAGTGGAAGGCGTGAGACTGGAGGTTAGCATCAGCCCTGCTTGATAGAAGACAAAAATTGTACAGTAAGAAGCGATTTGGTTAAATGAAAAAAAAAAAACATTTCTTGCCCCAACTGACGATCATTTTCGAGATCAGCTGTTATTTTTATTTTATCGGACCTATCCTATTAAGACAGGAGAAATTATTTGAGTCATCAGCACAAATAACTAGTTGGGAACTGATAACATCGGAGAGGTATTTGATGAAGATAAGAAACAACATACGTACAACTGATGAGAAAGGTAAGATCTTTATTGAAGATAAGAAACAATATAGCTCTGGGTGGCACCTGCGTAAAAATGAAATGATCTAGAAGCCTTGACCGTTCTATGACAGCTTATATATATATTATACTTATTATAAAACCCAGGTTGTGTGTGTGTGTGTGTGTGTGTGTGTGTGTGTGTGTGTGTGTGTGTGTGTGTGTGTGTTCGTTTATATATTGGATCAGATTTCCTACATTTTTCAACCGATTTCAACAAAACTTCACAGGACTGCGTAAAATTACCGTGCGGTGGTTCTGACAGCACCAAAAATTGGTAAAACACAATTACTTTTGTACAAAATCAATTTGAAAACACGATTAAGAGGCATTAATGCAAGGGGGACAACTCATATCGAGTTATACTTATTATAAAACCCAGGTTGGTTATTTGTGTGTGTGTGTTCGTTTATATATGGGATCGGATTTCCTACATTTTCAACCGATTTCAACAAAAACTTCACTTTTTTTTTTTTTTTAGCAGGTAGTGTTTCTTATTGTCTTGCACACTTTTTTTTTATTTTTACATTCAGAATGCTTTAAAAATTCCATTTACAAGACAATTGTTAATAATAAAATTCTATTCAATCTGTAGACTCATAATGATTGAAAACAATGTTTTTGTTTGAGTTTGGGTTTGACCAATTCGTAAAAAAAAACGAAAAAAACTAATTAAGACATGCGTGTTCGTCAACCTTAAACAATAATCTTTGTCAATTTTATTTTTCAGTCTTTATGGTGGTCGATACTTGATCTATCTCTTTGTTACATCCCCGGCAACGCCAGGCTCTACTACTAGTATATATATATATATATATATATATATATATATATATATATATACCTTACCTATGAACACTAAATTAAATTAAGGAGAAATTCTTTACGTCATCAGTACAAATAACTAGTAGGAAACTGATAACATTGGGGAGGTATTTGATGAAGATAAGAAACAACATACGTACAACTGATAAGAACGGTAAGATCTTTATTGAAGATAAGAAACAATTTAAAAGATGTCGCTTTTATTAAAGCTTTATCAGCGTTTGAGATACTGAGAGAAAAAAAAGAAATTCAGGTATTCTTATTTTTGTGTTGTTTGATTTTCATTGGTCAATCAGGCTTCGCGTGAAGTTGAATTGTTAGACAACGTTAGGATAATTTATAGCGTTCCGAACGCAAAGAGGGACGATACGTCATTTCGACGTTTAAAAAATTAACGAATTCCAAGCCTAACTGAAAAAAAACATAAATATTACTTTATGAAGAAATATACTCTTAAAGTGTGCTATATTTATGGGATAAAGTGCTCAATATTAGAGATAGAGTGTGTGTAAATATAAAAGTGAACATCGAAATCAACACTTAGAGGCGACAGGCTGTTTCATACTAGATGCAATTGTCAGGCCACTAATGTAAACGCATCATGCGGCCTGATGATTGCGTCTAGCATGAAACACACTGTCTCTCTAAGTGTTGACTTCTATTCACTTTATATATATATATATATATATATATATATATATACTTGTAACATATATATGAACTTGTACCAGGTTTTTAAAAAAAAGGAAAACGTGGGATCCTTTCTCGGTCTTCACTCAGAAATGGAAGCGACACAAGGGAATCAACCAAGAACAGACACAAGACGATGGATTTCAAAATAAAACATTTATTTATAAATATATATATAACGAAATAAAGAAAGAAGAAAAAAAACATTCATTTAACAAAGGGGTAGGGGATCATTAAAGAATAGAAGGCGCGAGCGAATACATACATATATGAAAACAGATCAAGCCAAACGAATCAACTTATCTTGCAGTCGGGTTGGTATCTTCACATAAAGTTTTGATTCGCCGAAGCGAGAGTTCTGATAAGACAATATCTTGGCCGGCCGACAATGTTCCTGGATTCTTCTTTTTTTCGCAAGTGTTCGAGGGTCCACAGCATTTCATACAGGCATTTAGTTGGGTCGACCAGTTCCCTAGCAGTCCTTCCATCACTAGTCGACAGACTTTGCTGTCTTCCTCATCTCAGTGGGCGGTCTGACGATTTTTGCCCAGCGACGTTCAACTGCCGCTGGTCAGAGGGAAACTGAAAAATCCTTTTTTTGGTTTTCGCTGTCCCCAAAGACAGTCACGTGGGTTCCCTTCGTCCTTGACCGGGTACCCGGGAGGATAGGGCGTAAATCACGCAGCTTGTGTGATGGCCAAAAGTTCAACACATGCTCAGTACGTTCCGATCACGTGAATCGCAGCAGGAGGCCCTGATGGTGCCTGGAATTCACTTATGGTCAGCCGCCTGATAGCTGCGAAGTCTTGGAACCAGGTCATTCTCGCGCCGGGTCACTTCGAAGTTCACGGGCCCTTGGCTTGTGGGTGGAAGAGAGGAAAAGGAAAGAAAGAATTTGGGAAACGAAAAGAAGGTGTATGGCTGATCATAGAATATATTCGCTCGCAAGTCGAAAACATTGGATTAAATTTCTATTTTTATTTATTAATTTATTTATTTATTTTTCTTTTATATCTAACTAATTTTCTCTTTATTTAACGCCTATATGGTTAATGAAATCGTGGCTACGTGACAATATATATATATATATATATATATATATATATATATATATATATATATATGTGAAGAAAATATACTGAAAAAACAAACAAAAATCCTAATATGCGATTATACTGTTTTAATGTTTAATGTCAACGTCGGACGTTTCGATCTAATAGACTATCTTCAGGACATATTCATAAAACATAATTAACATAGACCATAAAACATAATTAACATAGACCATACTAAAACAGCATAATCGCATATTAGGATTTTTGTTTGTTTTTTCAGTATATTTTTCTTCATACTGTCGGATCTATATCCATATATTTGCTTACATATATATATATATATATAAAAACTGAATTGGATTATATACCAATGGATCTATTACCTGTATATATATATATATATATATATATATATATATATATATATATATATATATATATATATTATATATGAAGAAATATATTGTTAAGGGTGTATATGTATGAGATAAATTGCTCAATATCTGAGAGCGTGTGTAAATATAAAAGTGAACATTGAAGTCAACATAAAGGCGACAGTCTGTTTCATGCTAGACGTAATTGTCAGGCCACCAATGGTAAACGCATTATGTGGCCTGAGGATCGCGTCTAGCATGAAACAGACTGTCGCCTCTATGTTGATTTCTATGTTCACTTTTATATATATATATATATATATATATATATATATAAAAACTGAATTGGATTATATAACCAATGGATCTATTCCTATATATATATATATATATATATATATATATATATATATATATATATATATATATATATTTATGTATATATATATGTATGTATGTATGCATATGAAGAAATATACTCTTAAGGTGTGCTATATTTGTGAGATAAAGTGCTCAATAAAGCGTGTGTAAATATAAAAGTGAAAATTGAAATCAACACTCAGAGGCGACAGGCTGTTTCATGCTAGACGCAATCATCATGCTGCCTAAATGGTGGCCTAACAATTGTGTCTAGCATGAAACAGCCTGTCGCCTCTGAGTGTTGATTTCAATGTTCCCTTTTCTTACTTTATATATGTAAGTGTATCATGATGCTAGTTTGTCTATATGGAATTTTGATGATAATGTTTATTTGTAATTGCTTGTGTGTGTGTGTGTGTGTGTGTGTGTGTGTGTGTGTGCGTTTGTGTGCGTTTGTGTGTGTGCGTTTGTGTGCGCTTGTGTGTGTGCGTTTGTGTGCGTGTCTGTGTGTGTGTGTGCGTGTGTTTGTGTGTGTGCATTCGTGTGTGTGTGTGTGTGTGTGTGTGTGTGTGTGTGTGTGTGTGTGTGTGTGGTAGACATTGTTTACGTTTGATGTATGTCAGCATGTTCAGAGACGATTTTACGTCAACACCCGGTTGTGGTAGATAAACAGAAATTCGATTCTTTAAAAGTTGGTGATGTAATGCTGTGTTTTTGACATGTTTTTTTATCGTTCATACTGAAGCCTTTTCTCTTTTCTATCCATCTCCAGCTATGGGTAAAATAGTAGGCAGCTTAGCTGTGGGAGTTCAATCAGTCTGACATGCCTGATATAATGAACCTGATGTTGTCATGATAACAGGAGGTTTAAATTCGAAGTTTTCATTCTAGACTGATCGCCCTCTGGGAAGGTCCGAAGAGACAAAGAAAAATCAGCAAACGTCCTGAAAGCGATTCATGGGGAATTCTTCCTCGACAACATGGCAATAAGGCAGAATTCCTGTTATCAACAAAACAAATCGTTTTCCTCATGGAACATGCCCCCAAAATGTTGATATATAAGTTAGTCACCCCCCCAACACACACGGATGATGGCAAAAAGCTGGGTTTAAATGGGAAGCTGACACTTACGGAGGAATTGTACAAAAAATTATCAGTTCATTCGGCATGTACATTCTAAAAATACAAGTGAATTCATCCTTAGATAGATAGATAGATAGATAGATAGATAGATAGATAGATAGATAAAGAACAGACATAGATAGATAGATAGATAGATAGATAGATAGATAGATAGATAGATAGATAGATAGATAATAGAATAAAGAACAGACATAGATAACAGACAGAATAGACAGAGAAATAAACAAGTAGATAGATAGATAGATAGATAGATAGATAGATAGATAGATAGATAAGAATAGTTGTCTCTTCCATAGAACATAGATAGATAGATAGATAGATAGATAGATAGATAGATAGATAACAGGCAGAACAGACAGGTAGAAATAGACAAGTAGATAGATAGATAGATAGATAGATAGATAGATAGATAGATAGATAGATAAGAATATTTGTCTCTTCCTTAATAAAGCTTATCGTCACATTCGCTTGAAGAAAAATATCTCAAGTTGCACCATTCGCAAGTGTAAGCAACCAATAAAGTCTTTTGTATTTAGCTTTCTTACCCAACTCCTTTTTACTTTCCCCGCTCTTTTTCCTTCCAAAGTTATTTACCAACTGAGATCTGTTCACTGTACCAACGCCTCAAGTAATTTATCGATTATTAACGTCTTTTCTTTAAAACGTCAAAGTGAGGTGTTGACTGAAGGCGATGCAAAATTCACTTACCAGGGTGCGTTTAAATTTAATAATAAATGTGGTAATAGGATTGTATGTATGTTAACACTGTAGACTTCCAATAGATCAGGGAACAACAGTCGAGGCATGCTCGGTGTGACTGCTGTGATTTTTACAGGGTAGAGTTGCTAGTTCCACACGCAATTGGTTTTCGATTCAAAGTTGTCCTTCCTCTAGACTGGTTGCCATAAAAATCTAGAGAGTACATTCTACCCTGCTATTAACCTTTAGCTTGTTGGGAAAGAAAATATGGATATTTGTGCGATCGTCATTATCTTAACATACCAATCGTGATTTTATCGCCGATAAGCTGTACGCGTATGAGGGTTTACCCACACCTTGGCGAGTCAGGGCGCTCACTCAGTGCTGATCTGTTCCGGACTATAAAAGGAATCTTTTTGCTCCAAGTTGTAGTAGCATCAACAACGGGACTCTTCCCTTCCGGGTAGACACTCTCTGAGCAACCGACTACTTAATTTTATTCATCCACGTGGCGCACTCTATATATTTATTGATTATATTGTTTATTGGAATTTTTTGGCGAAACGTGGGCAAATAAACACACAAGGTGTTAATAACGCGTAAAAAAAAACAAATCAATGAATCAAAAATCGCCAGAGCATGACCCTCAAAGTATGCTTTCCCAATCACTACAATCTTAATCTCTTCAAGTTTAGTATCGTTATCTATCCTCCATATCCTCATAATAGGCATATCTTGCGCCCTACTTGTACGCACATAACAATTTCATTTAGTAACCTCTACCTTGAGTGGCTCTTGGGCTTAGTATTAGGTAAACAATAGTATAACAACAGGCATACACGCTCTATACAAGAATATAATTTGTGCATCCACCGAACAATTTACAGTTATACACTTTGCTTTAAAATTATGTACCGTATATATACGTGTATTAGCCAACTTTATATATGACATGACACTGGGCACCTCGGCGTGGTGTAATGGTTAACAAGTTTGTCTTGTTAGATTAGGTTTGAGCGAAAAGTGAGTTCGATCCTGACTAAGTGTCCCATACTTTCGACCTTGTGTCACATCTAAGAAAATCATTTTGGGCACCACGAGGCGGTATAATGGTTAGCAAATTTGGCCGGCCAGAACAATTACGACTGATTAGTTCGATCCTCACTGGGTACACTTTACTTCCGGCCTAGTGCTACATCTAAGTTAAGCTTAGAAAATTACCATATTGACTTAGATTTGGGCTAACGACTGAAATTAAAGCATTTTGTGATCGATCAAGCCTACAGAACTGCAAGTCGTAAGTTACATTAAAAAATTCAAGGTCAGTTTAGTCTGCCATAAGGCTATTACAAAAGGGTGCCTAGTGAAAAATCACTATATGGCGCGACTTCTGAATTATTTCGGGAGAAAGTTGATTTTTTCCATATGGCTCATCTATGATACGACCCCAGCTTCTGAGTAGTACAAGTAAGCCTAGGGTAGTCAAACATTGCAGAACTGGGCATCATCCTGGGCATATTTTATAGCAAAGAAATGGTCTTCATTCTTTTCTGAACAAAGCTATCCGAAAATGATGAAAATGGTCAAAAAACTTGCATTGTACTTGAGTATATACGGTTATTTGGCTGCGTTTTGAGTCAAACTTTATTATTCTTATCCAGGAAATTCATTGAACTGTGTTCACTGTTGAAATATTTATATTATTAAATAATTCCCTTTACTGTACTGGGGATTTTTCTTCCCTTCCCCTTCTGTTTACGTGGATCTCCTCGGTAAGAGCCAAAGAAGAGTCAGCAATATTATTGATCCTGATCTGGCAGCTCGGTTTAAGTCTCTTGCCCACCATAGTAAGGTTGCTTCTCTGTCCGTTTTTATAAATACTTTCCTGGTAATTGTTCGGATGAGCTCTTCGTTATGGCACCTTGACTGTATGAATTCAAGCGCAATACTAAACTGGCGGTGAGATCTCATCAATTTACAATTAAGCTAGATAGATATAGCTGTAAGTTCTATGATGACAATTTCTTTTCTTGTGCCTCTCACTTGTGGAACTCCATTCCAACCCCATGCTTTCCAGCCAACTTTATCTGCAAAAATTTAAATGCAATATCAATCGTTATCTACTGTCCTCCTGATTGCCCTTTCTACTCATTAGAAATGTTTCTGTTCCACCACACTCTATAATCCTTTGCATGTTAGTGGCTATACTGCTTTGCTTGGGGGGATACCGATTAAAAACAAAGTAAGAGAAAATAAATGTTTTTGTGTGTTTTCATATTGAATAAGAAAAACAAAATATAAAACATAATCTTTCTTTCTTCGTGTTTCAAATTAATCATTTTTATCTATTCTGAATCGGCATTGCTATCACGTCATTGATTTTATTCCTTGATAAATTCAGCATTGACCAACAACATAAGTCTACCATTCGTTCATGCTTAGAATATTGCTGCCATATATGGCCTGGTGTCCCTGCTATATAAGTGGGGTTCCTTGATAAAATCCAAAGAAGAATCAGCAATATTATTGGTTCTGATCTGGCATATCGGCTTCAGTCACTTGCCCACCGCTGTAAGGTTTTATATAAATACCTTCATAGTAATTGTTTGGATGAGCTCTTCGCTATGGTACCTAGACCCTATGAATCTAAGTGCAGTACTAGAGTTGCAGTGTGATCTCTTTAATTTACAGTTAATCTAGATGGATGTAGCTGGAACTTCTATGCTAACAGACTCTTTTCTCGCACTTCTTGCTCGTGGAACTCCCTCCCAGCCCCATGGTTTCTAGCCAACTTTATCTGCAAAAATTTAAATGCAATGTCAATCGTTATCTACTGTTGTCCTGATTGCGCTTTCTACTCCTTAGTAATGTTTCTGTTCCTAATTCCTCCACATCCTATAATCCCTTGCATGTTAGTGACTATACTGCCTTGCTTGGGGTGATACCGATTAAATAATGTTTGGTTGTATTTTTTACTATTTCAAAATTACTATTGTACTTCATTCTTATTATGTGCCGTGTCCCTTCAGGACGTAGGCGATCATGGCTCTCCACTTCCTCCTATCTCTTGTAGCTCCCAATAAGTTTTATCCCTTTACTACTTCTCCCAGGTCATGTTCTGTCATCCACTTGCTTAAGCCTGCTAGGTATGTCATGCGTTGCCTTCCCTTCTCTCTCTCTCTCTCTCTCTCTCTCTCTCCCTGTATTCGACCTGTGAGTATCAGATTCTCCAGGCCCTCCTTCCTCATTATGAGTTCCAGAAACTACAGCTGCCTCTTCCTGATGTTAAGTATAAGTCTCCTCCAAGTTTGCATCCTCTCTAAGACTTTCTCGTTGCTCACACGCTTGGTCCATGATATCCCCAGCATCCTTCTGTAGAACCACATCTCCGTCACCATGAATCTCTTCTTCATTTTTTTATGTGCCGTGTCCCTTCAGGACATAGGCAATCATGGCTCTCCACTTCTCCCATCTCTTATAGCTCTCAATAAGTTCTGTCCCTTTGCTTCTTCCGCCAGGCCATGTTCTGTCATCCACTGGCTTAAGCCCGCTAGGTATGTCATGTAATGCTTTCCATTGTCTCTCTTTACCTATATTCGATCTGTGAGTATCAGATTCTCCAGGCCCCACTTCCTCAATATGCGTCCCAAAAATTTCAGCTGACTCTTCCTGATGTTAAGTATAAACTTCCTCCTTGTTTGCATCCTCTCCAAAAATTCATCGTTGCTTACTCGCTCGGTCCATGGTACCCTTCTGTAGAACCATACCTCCCTCGCCTCGAGTCTCATCTTCATCTTTGAGGAGACCGTCCAACATTCACTGACATAAAGGAGGACAAATGTCACGTAGCATTTTAGTACTCTTTTCTTTGTTACCAAAGAAATCCTCCTGTCTTGTAATACTCTGCCAAGCTTTTACAATTTGGCTATTCCAAAAAGTCTTCGGAACTCAGCGTTGCATTTGCCGTCCTATGTCAAAACGCCAGGTACTTAATTTATTGCTTTTTTTATGGACATTAACTCTCTTCAATTTAAATATAATAATATTTACGAGAAATTGGTTCTTTTCTGGTATTCTCTCCTTTAAATCATCTAATCTTTTTTTAATTCCAGGCGTTAAAATCAGAATCTAGCAATGGTCATTTATAGAGTAGCGTTATCTTTAATCATTTTTCTATACTTATTAATTTAATTGTCAAGGTACATCCTTTAGAACAGGTCTCAGCAAACTACGACACGCCAAGCAATTTCCAATAGCACGCAGTCGCAAATGACATCACAAAGTCCGAACCAATAACTAATACAACGCAAAGAAGACATTTAACTGTTTCAATTTTAATATATACTATAGTATATACCCTATATATTAATATATACTAAAGTATATATCCTATATATTGATATATACTAAAGTATATATCCTATATATTAATATATACTAAACTATATATCCTATATATTAATATATACTAAACTATATACCCTATATATTAATATATACTAAAGTATATATCCTATATATTAGTATATACTAAAGTATATACCCTATATATTAATATATACTAAAGTATATATCCTATATATTAATATACACAATATATCGTAGAACAGGTATATTGACCTTGTGTTGTATAAAGATATACAGAACGATTTTAAGACACTAAATCGGTACATAATTCGTAAAAGGTTGCCGACCCCTGTTGTATAAGGCCCGAGGTAGAGGGTGACGTTAAGAGGTTGTTTATACAAATATGAGGGGAAAATAACGGTTAATCTGAACAGGTTAAGACTGTAATGATCTGGGAAACATACTCTTGGTAGTCGGTTCCCCAGAGCAGCGGTTCTCGGAATGAAGCTGTTCAAATTGAACTTACTTCTCACCATTGGAATACGGAGGGAATGTGGGTGGGTTGTTTGCTACAAAGTGTCCCGGCGGGTCCTAGTCGTGAAGGTCACACCAGGTGGAACAAAAGAAGGTAGTTCATCGGAGCACTTTTCAGGGAAGAAGCGATAGAACAACAAGAGATCTGCCACATTCCGCCAAGGAAAGAGAGGTTGGAGAATTAATTCTATCAATTTTTAGTTAATTGTCATTCAGCAATTGGCAATAATTATTATAACCGTATTTATAACAATTACAAATATTAAAAAAACATCTATATCTTTACACACTCATATATAAATATACATATATATATACTTATTTACTTATGCATATGTATATATTCATATATATATATATATATACATATATATATACATATATATATACATATATATATACATATATATAGAAATATATATATAGAAATATACGTAAATATACATACACACACATGTATATACAACACGTGGTAGGATCTACAAAAATGTATGGGAATTGGACCATCAAAACAAATTACATACCTACTTTTTGCCAAGTACGTGACCTTTCAGCTTGGCTACACAGTGTTTGCATAATGGTTTGCGATAGGTACATGCAAAAGTCCTTACTACATTCAACACCTAGTTACTGTATATATATATATATATATATGTGTGTGTGTGTGTGTGTGTGTGTGTGTGTGTGTGTGTTTGCAAATATGTAGAAAATTAGGAAGGTACAGGTTAGGTAAATAATCCGAAGTTCTTTATTATTTTTGTTTTTATTTTTAAAAAGCAGTGCTCAATACAAAATAGAGCCTAAATTATAAAGATGCGTAAACTTCAAGATTACTTATTCCAAAAAACTTTCGCTTGAGGATGAAACAGAGCTTTTGGCTCTTGATTTTGAAACATGAGAACTCTTATGTAGGAATCATATTTTTTTTAAAATAATTATAATTATGATATATATATATATATATATATATATATATATATATATATATATATATATATATATATATGGGTGTGTGTTTCTGTGTGAGAGAGAGAGAGAAAGCAAACAGACTAAACCAAGTTATGCTAAACCTGCCAAAGGCGAAAACGAAAAGACAAAAAGGAAAATAAGGACCTAGGAAAAAGACAAAGACAATATTCAATGCTTCATTTATATATATATATATATATATATATATATATATATATATATATATATATAGAGAGAGAGAGAGAGAGAGAGAGAGAGAGAGAGACAGAGACAGGAGAAGAGAGCAAGTGTATGATGTGTAAATTGGTGCCATTTAATATTTAAAATTTCGCGCATGCGCATTGTTTGTTTTAATTTTGCCGTCTGCACTGTATATCGTATAGTCAGTTGGGCACCGTTTGTGAGAAAAAGAGCACCATAACGCAATTCACTCGCCCAGAAATTTAGAAATGGCATGCTGTACTGCTTGGCATTCGCACCGGAATCTCATATACAAACATTTCAGAATGTTTGTGTGTCAATCTGGGGACATTTCAGAGTATTCGGAAAGAGTTGGATGAGTCTAATGGTGATTACGAAGGTTTTTGGAGTGATCACTAGTGATAACGACGTTATGCCTCCATTTATCTTCCCACAGGGCCTACATCGTACCTTGAGTCTGGGTCAATAGGGTTGCTGCTGAAAGTTGGCAATAGTTCTCTGCACTATGACACACAAATAAGAGAATCCAGTCATGGCTGTCAGACAATTTCTGCGACAACATCACTCCTTACATCTGGCAACCTAACTCCCCAAGACTGCAACACCCTGGATTATTATGTGTGGGGCGCAACTGAGCGAGAGATCAACAAAACTCCTTGTAACACCAAAGATGAACTGAACGCAATGATTATGGCAGCATGCACCAACTTAAACAAGGTGACTGTCCAGAAGAGTTGCAGAAGATTCCAAATTCGCCTGGAGGCCGTGGTTGAATTCAATGGAGATTTTATGGAATAAATTTACTCTTTCGTATTTCAAGATATTTTTTTGTAATTTTTGGTAAAGATATCTGTAAAAATGAAATGTCAGTGTTATTTTCATTTTTGCGTCATTTAGCTGACAATTTATCCATCGCACCCTGTAGATAGATAGATAGATAGATATGTAAAGATTGAAATAGATAGATAGATAGATAGATAGATATGTAAAGATTGAAATAGATAGATAGATATTTATTAAAGACATTTTTATGTTTAACGTTCTTTTTTATAGATACAAGTAAATGCTCTGTTTATAATAAACAGTATTAAATAACATTTACCGGCCTGAATGTCCGAGAAATTTTCATAGAAAATATTCGTCCTTTGACAGGATTCGATCCTGCATCCAATACGTTAGGTTAGGCACGTCAAAATGTTCCGTATAGGATGCAGGTTCGAATCTATTTAATACAATATTTTTATGAAAATTTAACTTATTTAAAACCGGTTAAATTATTTAAATTTATAAAAAGAACGTTAAAAAAGACGTTAAAAAAAATGTCTTTAATCAATAAATTGTCCATTTCTTAATATATAGATAGATATGTAAAAGATTGAAACATATATATATATATATATATATATATATATATATATATATATAAAAAAGATTGAAATATATATATAGATAGATAGATATGTAAAGATTGAAATAGATAGATAGATAGATAGATAGATAGATAGATATGTAAAGATTGAAACAGATAGATAGATAGATAGATAGATATGTAAAGATTGAAATAGATAGATAGATAGATAGATATGTAAAGATTGAAATAGATAGATAGATAGATAGATAGATAGATATGTAAAAGATTGAAATAGATAGATAGATAGATATGTAAAGATTGAAATAGATAGATAGATAGATAGATAGATCGATATGTAAAGATTGAAATAGCTAGATAGATATGTAAAGATTGAAATAGATAGATAGATAGATAGATAGATAGATAGATAGATAGATAGATAGATAAAAAAAGATTGAAATATATATATATATATATATATATATATATATATATATATATATATATATATATATATAAAGATTGAAATAGATAGATAGATAGATAGATAGATAGATAGATAGATAGATAGATAGATAGATAGATAGATATGAAGAGTCTGTGAATGCATCAGGAAGGAAGTCGTTGACATAATCGGTATATTTAACTAAATATTTCTTTCTACTGATGTGAGTTCATGCATATTATTAAATATTTAGGATGGGTCATTTTTGTAATTACTAGCGTGTCATAATATGTGTGTTCGCGTTCACTTATTAATGGCAGGCATTTTTTTTAAACACCCACCCACCCCTGACGCCCTTAGTATTTGCCACATTTTAGATATTTTCGATTTTGTTTTATTTTTATTTTTTCCTCATTACAATTTATTTTCTTCCGGTCGCCGTTGGGATTGGCTTCTAGGATAAGTCAAAGGAACAATGTCAGAAATAGTGGAGGTCATGTTTCGTGACTCCAGGTCGATTTTTTAAATTCCTTTGAGTTTATGACGTTATTTAGTTATCTTCTGTTATCGGCCCGGAGATTAATAACGAAAAATATCATTTATTTTATATAGCAAATATTTATTATAAATATTATTTATTATATAAACCCTTCCTTATCAACTTAATTATCGGACATAGTAAATATTTTAGAACAAAATTCAGTTAATAACACCATATCAGGCTACAGGCTTATTGATGCGACTTTGTAGACACGGGTAACGCTTTATTGAAATAAAAAAAAAATAGTATTACTTTCGATTACTTTCCGATTAAGGATTTGATCAAGATCTCGTGTTCAATGTGGAATTCAACACGAGAATGTGTTGAATATGATTCTTTGAAGCGAAAAAATCAAAATGAAAATAAGATACATGTCTATGGATGTGAATCGTGTGACTATAAACATTCTTTTCTTATTTTTTTTCTCATTTCTAATTTCTTTCTTTTTTGTGGGGGGGGGGTAATGAATGTTTGAAATAAATAAAGGATGTGACACTGCATCAAGAAACAGTGAAAACAAGTGAAAATAACGAAAAGAAATAAAGAAAGAACAGAAAGAAAAAAGAAAAGAAATATATAGACTTAAAGAATGAAAAAAGAAAGAAATGAAATATAAAAAAAAAAGAAATACAGAAAAAGAAAGAAAGGAAATATAAACTGAAAGTTATGGAAGAAAGAAAGAACTGGAAAGGAAATATAGAAAGATAAGTAAATGTAGGAAGAAAAGAAAGAAAGAAAGAAAGAAGGAAAGAAAGAAAGAAGGAAGGACGTAAAAAAAAGATATTATAGAAGAAAAGAAAGAAGATATAAAAGAAAAGAAAGAAAGAAAGAAAGAAAGAAAGAAAGAAAGAAAAGGAATAAGGAAAGAAAATATAGAAAGATAAAAAATGTAGGAAGAAAAGAAAGAAAGAAAGAAAGAAAAAAAAGAAGAAAGGACGTAAAAAAGAAAGAAAATATAGAAGAAAAGAAAGAAAATATAAAAGAAAGAAAGAAAGAAAGAAAAGGAATAAGGAAAGGAAATATAGAAAGATAAGAAAATGTAGGAAGAAAAGAAAGAAAGAAAGAAAGAAAGAAAGAAAGAAGGAAAGAAAGAAAGAAGGAAGGACGTAAAGAAAGAAAGAAAATATAGAAGAAAAGAAAGAAGATATAAAAGAAAAGAAAGAAAGAAAGAAAGAAAGAAAAAAGAAAGAAAGAAAAGGAATATGGAAAGGAAATATAGAAAGATAAGAAAATGTAGGAAGAAAAGAAAAAAAGAAAGAAGGAAAGAAAGAAGGAAGGAAGGAAGGACGTAAAGAAAGAAAGAAAATATAGAAGAAAGAAAGAAAATATAGAAATGAAGAAAGGAAATATAGAAAGAAAGAATAAAAAAGAAAGAAAGAATGAAAAGGAACTATAGAAATAAAAGAAAGAAAGAAAATATAGAAGAAAGAAAGAAAGAAAGAAAATATAGACTGAAAGAAAGAAAGAAAGTATCAGTAAGCAACTAATTCGTAATCCCCTTATACGTCAATTCAATAAAGAAATAATAAAAACATCTTTGTAAATTACATATTTAAGGGTTGCCAACCTTTTTGGCATCATCGCCCATTTTCACTTGGACAAATTTTCCATCGCTCACCTGTATAATAAATATTCAAAACATTACAAAATTGTTTGTTAAAAGTTTGTTACTGGTTCCTTAACTGATATTATGACGCAATAAAAAATAATATAAAGAAGTAACAAATGACGCTGACACACGCAGTGACTGCTGTTACTCTATTAAAGAACAAACGAAAGCAATCTAGAAAACTATATATATATATATATATATATATTTAATTTTATTTTGTGGTTAGAGTTGTCGCTGCAAGTGCTGACAAAAAGTCAACTGTTTTTGTTCATAATTAAAAAGAATATACACTATAAGCAACTAATTAAAATTCAACGAATATGTTTTGTTATATCTAATTCTGAAGAACTATTAATGGCCCTTCTCAAAACGATAGAAAACACCAAAATATTGCTTGTTTGCACGGATATTTATATCTTATCTAACTATGTGACCCATTTAAACTCTTGTTGTTGTTTTTTATAAAGGTTCTTTGCATATCTTTGAATATTTTTTCTGGTATCATATGTTAAAATACCTTTTTAATAATCAAAATCCTATATCGCCCATCAAAATTTTCAATCGCCTATCATTTCCGGTTTGGTTTGGTTTATTTTATTTTACGGCATATCAACCTCAATGGGTTATTTAATGCCGACAACATTTTTAGGATAGATTTTGTGAATACAATATGTATTCTTTGGTTTAGATTGGTTTGGTTTATTTTATTTTACGGCATATCAACCTCAATGGGTTATTTAATGCCGACAACATTTTAGGATAGATTTGTATGAATACAATATGTATTCTTTGGTTTAGATTGGTTTGGTTTATTTTATTTTACGGCATATCAACCTCAATGGGTTATTTAATGCCGACAACATTTTTAGGATAGATTTGTATGAATACAATATGTATTCTTTGGTTTAGATTGGTTTGGTTTATTTTATTTTACGGCATATCAACCTCAATGGGTTATTTAATGCCGACAACATTTTTAGGATAGATTTGTATGAATACAATATGTATTCTTTGGTTTAGATTGGTTTGGTTTATTTTATTTTTACGGCATATCAACCTCAATGGGTTATTTAATGTCGACAACATTTTAGGATAGATTCGTATGAATACAATATGTATTCTTTGGTTTAGATTGGTTTGGTTTATTTTATTTTACGGCATATCAACCTCAATGGGTTATTTAATGCCGACAACATTTTTAGGATAGATTTGTATGAATACAATATGTATTCTTTGGTTTAGATTGGTTTGGTTTATTTTATTTTACGGCATATCAACCTCAATGGGTTATTTAATGCTGACAAAATTTTTTATTGCTGGTAATATTTTGTTTTGTCAAAAATATGTTTCTGTTAATACTTTTCCTTCAAAATTGTATTGCTGGTAATAATTTTTTTTCAAAAAGCACTGCTAGTAATAGGTAACTATTTTCCCGTAACTGGGAACTAACAGGTGCTACCACCCCGGGTCAGGGTGGACCTGGGAACACCAGCAATTAAGAGGTGGTTCCAAAAACCTCCTGATCAGAGGCCTTGCTGCTGGACGTCTTACCCAGGACGCAGATGTTGCTTAACGTCTTACCCAAGATATCATCATTTCTTTTCAGTTGTTGATTGCCCATCCAACAGTTGAAATCGCCCACCGGTGGGAGATATCGCCCTGGTTGGAAAACTCTGATGTAATTCAAGATTGTTGATTAATACGTACATTTGCTTTGCACGCGTGTTTATAAGCAACGACAGACAGCAATGAATTAATGACTTAAATACTCAATTGTCTGTTCATTGATCTTTTTCTTTCATGAATCATGACCCTCCAGAACGTGCGCGAACATGGCTCTCTGCAATTCCCTATCCATTGTTGCTCTAAGCCAGTGGTTCCCAAACTTTTTCCTCTAGGCCGCATTTTAGGAATTAATATTTGCTCGCGCCTCACCAAATATTAGGTGATAAAAAATACATTTAAAAATTAAAAAAAAAAAACAGAGTTAAAAGGAGATAACCGCGGATTCGAAGCCAGAATATTTTTCATTGATAACTCTCTCCTCCAATTTGCGGACTCTAGTTACTATATTCTTAATACTTGATATAATGCAAAAATATCAAAATGATAAAATCGCCCAATAATTACTTATAACTATTTATACTGGGGATCATGCATGCAATTACAAGTAATCCATAATAATATTTTAAATTTTGAAAACATATTTATTTTTGGCATATGAATTTTTTGAAACTGTTTCTAAATGTTTGTCTTTCAATCATTACGCCTCACCTGCTATCCTCTTCCGCCTCACCTGCTATCCTCTTCCAACGCACCTATGAGGTGTGCTGCACCGTTTGGGAACCACTACTCTAAGCAATGTCTGTCTCTTTATTATCCCTTCTAGTCCATGATCTGTCATACATTTATTCAAGCACGTCTGGTAGATTACTCAATATTTCTCTCTGCACTTCTTGGCTTCAATATATCCTGTGAGTGTCAAATTCTCCAAAACCTCTTTCCTCCTTATATGTCCCAGAAAACTTCCTCTTTGCTCACATATTCTCTCCATGATATTCTCAACAGCTTTCTATAGAACGACATCTCTGTTACCCAAGTTTCCTCCTCATCTATGAGAAAATTGTGCAGCATTGACTGCTATACAGGAAAACTGATATTGCATAGCAGTTCAGAATTATTTTTAATAACTGTGTCAACTTTTACCTGAAGCGGGTTGTCCACTTTCTTTTATCTCGGAGTCTTTGATTTCACTGAAGTGAAGAATTTAGGATGCAGGACAACTGAACACCATCAAATGAACATCGCCAACTGAACAACATCACCTGAACACCGTCAACTGAACACCGCCAATTGAACACCGTCAACTGAACACTGGAAACTAAACACCGCAAACTGAACAGCGTCACTGAACGCCGTCAACTGAACACCGCCAACTGAACACCCTCAGCTGATCAGCGTCACCTGAACACCGTCAACTGAACATCGACAATTGAACACCATCAACTGAACACTGGAAACTGAACACCGTCA